AAAAAAAAAACAGCTCCTCATTAGCCCACATCTGCACATTTTATTTCCCATGTGGAAAACCATCATGCACAAGCTCGTGTGGATGCACAAGCACCTCTAAATGAAACACAGGCAGTCAATGGTGGGAAAAAGCTGTCTAGGACCCAGACATTTTTCCCACCATTGACTGTAATGCATTTCCAACCTGTGTGTGTGAGAGCAGCTGCTGCCTTCACCACTGCACTCCTGAGTGCCTTCTTCTCAGTTTTAAGCTGCAAACGTCAAAGTTTTGACTACAGTTTGACCCCTCTGACCTTCTTCTAATGGCTGACTTTTTAACCCCACACTGACCTGCTCACAAGTTTTTATTCTTTGGTCTGCATGTGTTAAAAAGTAATGTGGCCTTCTTTGTGTATATAAAGAAGTTAAACAAGTGTAATACTACAGCTGTTATAAAGGCGGGGAGGGGGGTAACACCTGGACTCACCTGGTGTCACCCCTACTTTTTTTTTTTTTTTGCTGCTTTATACCAGCCTCCCCCCCTGCTGCACCTACAACCTGTGCACTGGCTCATATACAGTACAGCGCGTGCGCATACATGCAAACGTGCACGCTCAAGTTAAGCAGCAAGTCATGTGGCACACACAGTTGCCATGTGACGCCTTTTCCTTTTTTTTCTCTTTTTGGAGTTATGCTTATTGTGGGATGTCAGTGACTGTGCTCATTACTATTATGGGATGCCACACGGGGGTGGGAGGGGGACGTCTCCATGGTAACCCCGGTTGCTAAGGGAGGGGTGTAGGTGTGTGTGGAAGGAGGGGGGTGTGTGTTCGTGTATGCATAGAGGAATGGGGAAGAGGGGGGGGGGTGGATTGACTATTATGGTCTGTACGTTGCAAGGTAACTATGCAGAGTGGGGGAGGGGTCAGTGAAGTGTGTGTGTATGTGTGGTAGTGGTGGTGGAGGGGGGGCATATTATGGGATGCCTGCCCCCTGATCTCTTTGTGTATGTGTGCGCGCGCGCGCGAGCGGGGTGTGTGTAGTGTGCAAGGAAGAGAAAGAGGAGACGGCGTCGTGCGCACACGCTGCTGCTACACACAAAAAACCACGGAAATATATTTAAATTGTTAAGATAACGGTGTACATACAAGAAAAAAGAGCCTCTAAGTGCTGACCGGCGAACAAACTGAGCCCGGAGTTACTGTTTTTGGAGCCGGTGTGGGACTCAAGTTGTGAGTATCAGTTTTTATTGTTTGTGGGTTTTACTTGAGTCAGGCTGGTTGGGATGCCGAGTGGTTATAAAAGAACCCACCGTGAGGTTTTTTATGGGGTAGATATGAGCGTGTGAGGGGGTCTTGTGTTTGATCTGAACCTGGCCGCCGGTCAAGCTCGGCTAGCACGCATGCTAATGAGACGGAAACTAACGATAATGGCAAGATGGCATGTTAGCGGAGATGGAGTGTGGGCTAATCTTTACGAGCTGTCCAAAGTTAGAGTTATTGTCCAAAAAGAAACCTCGTGTGGGGCTTGTTTATTGTCCTGATTGCTGTCTTATGTATATTCACTTCCTTCCGCTCTCTTTTTTTTTGTTCTTCTCTGCCCCCCACCCCCCCTACACTACAACACCTCCTCGACTTGGACGGACTCAAGCCTGGGTCAGAACTCTGGATTACCCTGGAAACTTTATTTAGTTAGCTAAACTGCTAGCTAACTAAAGAAAGAAAGTTTTCTGTTGTCCGCTATGTCTGCAAGCGACGATGAGAGGGATGAATACGGAGCCCCCGAGGACCGGTTAATGCACGGTAAGGCGAGGCTCATTTGTTAGCAGAGAATGCTAATGTTCACGCTGGGTTATGCGCTAGCATGAGCAGATGTTTTTGACATTCACATCAATCATGTTTGTTAGCATAATGCTAACTGCACAATGCGGCTAACTACCGGGTTGCTAACAGTAGCAAACCGGCTTCATTCGCGGCTGAGTATCGTTTTAGAAAGAAGTCCAGTTTTTACCACAACCTGAGACGGCATGGCTGGTGGTTGCATCGGAGTGAAGTCACGCCGACAAACCGGCATGTTCCCGGGGCCTAGCGTTAGCCAGCTACCGGTATTTTTACGTGTCGATGACAAGATGGAGGCAGCCAGTTAGCTTGAAAGCTGGCGGATGACGTTCAGCGGCGTCCCCCTCCTCATGGCCGGCGCCTTCGGTTTGAGTGTGCAAGGGGGGAAAAGTAATAATAATAATCATACGGAAAGGAAAAAACAACACCCAGCTTCTTATTTAACCGTTATTTATCCCCGATCACCTTTTAGTTTTTACGTGCAGGTGTGGCCGATGTTTACAGTGTGCTTAATTCCGACGAGCACGCGCACCGTCCGCGATAGAACCGTTGAGAACAAACATTCAGCAAGTTAGCCGCAAATGCTAAAAATCGATCAAAAACGGTCCACTTTTTGTTCACGTGTTTTAAAGCTTTATAACAGCAATAAAACAAACGGTGCAAAAGACAACACACTGTAAAATCATTCTTCTTTTCATTAATAGCCATACAGAAACCAATTACTCAGGCTAGCCTTTATGCTCAGATGTCTTACAAAGGTCAAACATTTTCTAATAATTTTGTCTTTTAATTCATATTTTGTTGTTTCTAGTGTCAGTACCTGCTAACTGGTTCTGAAGTACCGCAACACGTTTTAACTATTTTTTGGGTCTAATACTGCATAAGCTAAAACTGTGGAAAATCGTTTCCATTTTAGTAAAAAAACATGTCAGCATTCAGCTTTTATTAATAGATGCTGCAGCTGAAAAGACGGTTAAAAATTGCACAGCTTATAAGATATAGTGATCAACCATGGTTTCTAATTGATTGTCAGCAAAGGTGCCAAACAAGTAAAAGACAAGTGGGGAAAAAATCACCAGTGCAATTAATCGAAAATTACCATTAGTTGAAGCTTTCAAAAATGACAAAAACAAAATAATGTGGTTCAAAAATGTTTTTCTGATAAACACATCTTGATTCATGAGAGTAAAAGTAAAATCTCTGCAGCTGTAAGGAAAAATGACAGATAATCAACAAAGGGAGGACAAAAACAGAGTCCAGAAATATGCCTTTGAATTACTCATGCACAATCAACAGCCAGTTATTAATTTTGCACTGGAATTGTATATAGGATGTATAATAATGTAGCTGAATAGCTGGTGAGTTATTTTCTATTGACTGCAGTAGAGTTTGGTGCAATTTATAGATAAAAAAAAAAAAAAAAACTGTGTCAAGAACTTAAATTCAATCTGTCAAAGTTCCTTTTGTGTCTTTGTTAGTGTCCTTTTTTGCACAGCTCAGAAGGAATGTCATATGCAGTCTTTAGTTTTTCAAACTTCTGAGTTTCTATTAAGTGAAAATCTTCTAATTTAAAATTTGTTTTCCATCAGGAGTCATATTAGGTCTTCCCAAGCACAGATCCCACAGGGATAAATCAGAGTACACAAAATTAGGTCTTTATATCTGTGGAGTAAAATCATCTGTGACGCAAAATCTGGTCTTTGTCCATAAAACATGCTTTTCTCACGCTTTGCATCAAATAGAAAATTCTATCACTGTGCTCATAAGGAGCTCTTTGTGTTAAACACTTGAATCAGATTCGAATAATTTTTCTTATCAGCTACAGCTGAGTTTCCACCTACCTACACAAAGCTCAGTTACCTCTATTGACCCAAAAAGTCCCATCTCATTAAATCGTCTTCCTTTCCAGGTGCATCTTTGATGGCGACTTGCCATTTGCTTCTTACTGTAGTCCATTACATTAATAAGCGCTCAGTGCCAGATACTGGATCGAGATTTTTGCTGTTTGTGAGGCCTGCAGGGGTGTGGTTAAATCATCCTGATGAATCAGTTGTAAATGATGGTTTTAACCTCTAGAGCCAAACTTATTAGTCACTCCCTCTCTGAGGGCAACTTGTGTAACTGGAAAGTAACTCAGATTACTAGTTTAACTGCTAACATCACAGGTCTTTAATTCCAGACATCTAACTGTGGATAACTTAAATGCTTTCTGACACTGAGTGAGACAGATGAAAACCCAGACTTTATTTTTTGTTTTTGATTACTGCAAAAAGGAGAAATTTGGTTACTTTCTATTTTATTGTACAAATAGAAACAATCAAGTCTTCTCAACACTTTTGTCCTTTTGTTAACACGACTGTTGAGCCAAGGGTCAAGTGTTCAGTGTACAGGGTGATAAGTAAACAGAAAATGACCTTAAATCTCACTAGCACCCCAGAAATAATTTGAACTGTTACAGCAAGTTGCAGGTTACTCATTGGCTACTCAAACCTCAGATGTTTCTGCACCCTGAAGCTTGAGATCATCGTTTAGATGAGCTGGTGCCAGAGATTCAGTTGTGACAATCTGCTGCTGATCGATAGGTGTTGCTTCTCTGAAAACTGTAGGTGATCAGTGTTGTTGTAGAAAATGTTGAAACGGAAAACCCAATGATTGTTTGTTTATTGTTTTATTTTTCTCCAAAGTAAATTGTTGTATTAGCCCTCCTCTATCAGTTACAAATCTCTTTGCTTCTGCATTGATTGACACAACTGTACGCAAAGATCAAACTGCGCAGACACCTGCATCTGTCACCTGGTTACAAAAATCAAGAGTTGCACAAAAAAACACACCAAACGGCACCAACAAGGGAACTTGCCAGCATGAAGGTGGCATAAGCGCGCATAAACTAAGAGTAGCGTAGCAGACTCAAACATGTTCCAGAGAATATAAATCTGCCTTGTGGGAAGCAGTTCAAGGGGAATTCCCTCTAGTTTTAAGATATTTGAATTTCAGGCCCTGGGATCATAAAAGTCGACATCCGGAAACAAAGCTTCTTTACAAAATTCTGTCATTTCATAGTTCCACTGTGATCTGTAACACGTGCCGTTTACCTGTGAAATAGCTGAATCAAGAATTAAACAGTCGATGCAAGTATTTAGCAGCCTACAGCTGGTGTTGAGTTTCCAGCAGGATATGCAAGTGTCCTCCGATACGCATGTCATCTTCACGGCCAGCTGTTCATTGTTGTTATCTCTCGGCACAAACACTGACACACAGTTGCTCCTTTGTACACCTTAACAATGAAATTTCTCTGTTGGCCTGATCTGCAGATGACGAGGAAGGAGAGATCTCTGAGAATGAGACTCCGAAGGTGAGGAAGAAAAAGAAGGCAAAGAAGAGCAGAGAGAGCAAGGGCAGCAAGCGGCGGTCGCGCAGAGAGGTGAGGGGATTATCCAATTAATCTGGGGTGTTTGTATATATGGGGGTCTCTGGAGATCTAGTTTCAGTTCTGGATTAGAAAGATAAACCTGTGATGCTGAGTAACTCTAGAACAGAAACCTACTAAAAGTTGACGATTTGTTTTCCGGTCATTTTGGGTCTCTGTTTGCTCACTGCCTTTCTCCTTTTTCCAGGAGCTGCCCATTAGCTCCCCAGAGCCCATGGACTTGGGCGGCGTAGATGATGGTGAAGATGGCGGCCCTGGCCAGCGCTCAGAGAGCGAGGGCAGCGACTACACTCCCGGGCGCAAGAAGAAGAAGAGAGCCAGCAGCGGCAAGGACAAGAAGAGGAACAGCGCTGCAGCGGAGAGGAGCGCCTCCAAGAAGAAAGAACCAGAACCAGAGGAGGATGAGGATGACGATGATGATGACGGCATGGTAAGGAAGGCGAGCAAAGAAGGTCCATGAACTTATAACACATTTAGTGCTTGTTGAAATTTTTGGTCACTTTGAAATACTTTGTTACAAAAATAATGCTGCTGACAACAGCTCTGTTATTCGGCGCTGTTATGAGTAACAGAGTAAAAAACAAAACTTGCGATAGTTTCTCTGTACAGTTAAAAGGTTTCTTATTGGTTTAAAGTACCCTTCTCTCCTCTGCGAAGAGCAGGTATTGATAGTTGTACCTGTAATGGAATCAGCAGCTGTTTAACAAACAGATTTGATGTAAGACGTGCTCAAACAAAGAGCCGATTCTGGCCAGTTCTGAGGCCGCCAGCCAGTCGGGGTCCTTGTAGTTAATGACACTCAGTGCAACATAAGAGAGGGTGGATTGGGGTGTGTGAAGACATATGCTGTTACTATGGCAACATCACCTAACGCTGCACTACGCACTTGACCCTGCTTCTTTGTGGTTAGATAAACACAATTTGATTCATTGGGAGAGCTGCCCTGCATCAGGTCTGCAGCTCAGGCTGTGAGATGGGAAGCAAACGGAGCAGAAAACCAGGTGTTTTTATCAAACTGTTCACCTTTTTATTAGCATTTAAACTTCAAAAGAAACTGGCTTTAGAAGACAGCAGTTTAGAAGTTAAATTTCACTTATGATTCTGGCTTTAAAGAAAGAGAACATCTTTAGACAACAGAAGAAAAGGCTTTAAACTTTTGGAGGGATCATTAGCAGCTGCCTGCAGATGGAGTTATTTTTATTGGTTTGCGCTTTGCAGCGACCACAGTGTGCAGCTTCGGAGCTTTTCGGACATCTTGTTCAAAGTTCAGCAGATCTAAACTTCGACCTCTGCTGATGGAAAGGAGCCATCCAGCAGGCAGGGAAGACAAAATGGAGAAAAATCAGTTGTCTGAATTAACTGAATTTCTATCAACCTTAAGAGGGGAAAAAACATTAAAGATCTGGTGATATTCAGTACTGGTTTCCTGAGGTGTGGGAGTACTGTGCTGCACAAGCCTTGTGGCCTCCCCATAACTTGGTGGAAGCTGAACATAAAGCCCAGCTCCCTATGGGGCTTCCCTGTGTCCCCCACCACTCTAATAATTGGATTAAATACTTGATTAGCATTTTTGCCATAATTGCCTGAAGTCTGCTTGCTGTAGAGATGAAATGGTTTACCTACTGTGATGAGTGATTTCCAGTCCCTTTTCTGGAAAAATGAGCCAAACATTTTGTGATTCCAGCTTCTAAATTGTGAAAAGTTCTGCTTTTCGTCGTCTTATATGATAGACGCCTGAACTCTTAGATTTGCACCATTAAACAGTTTGTATTTTAAGCAATCAAAGGGATCAACGTCACCTCATAAATGGCCTCATTGCCCTGGGCCAGTAAAGAAGTACAGTGATCCTGTGCAGCAAACTCACTGAAATGAAGCCTCTCCAAGTAACTTCTTCTCCCACCTGGTGTTCTCACATTAAAATACCACTGAACGTCTTTCATTAAAACACCTGTGCGGGTAGTTTAAATCTGAAAAGTATTGTTTGTTGTTTTTTTGCTCCCATCCACTGTTGATGTTTTCAGTTTTCACCCACCATAAAAGCTGTTTGAATGCAGATGAACTGCTTCAAATTTCTTAGAAACTTTGCAGTATCCAGCTGCAGCATACAGGAGGCAGTGTTTACTCCACTGTGCTTATTTCAAGGCTTTAGTTACTTTTTTCCTTGAAGTATACAAATTGCGTACAAATTTATTAAAATGTCCATTTCTGTGGTCCAGAAAAAGCCTGATCTATTTGCCCAGAGGCCTTTTTCAGGGAAAAATCATGTTTGATGCTGAAACTCTCTAGTAATAGTTTGTTTATTTTGATAAAACAGGCTCTTGGTAAGATAAGAGTTGGACAGCAGGGGCAAAACTTCAGTGACAGTGTTTACTGGGGCGATCGTGGCTCAAGAGTTGGGAGTTCGCCTTGTAATCGGAAGGTTGCCGGTTCGAGCCCCGGCTTGGACAGTCTCGGTCGTTGTGTCCTTGGGCAAGACACTTCACCCGTTGCCTACTGGTGGTGGTCAGAGGGCCCGGTGGCGCCAGTGTTCGGCAGCCTCGCCTCTGTCAGTGCGCCCCAGGGTGGCTGTGGCTACAATGTAGCTGCCATCACCAGTGTGTGAATGTGTGCGTGAATGGGTGGATGACTGGATATGTAAAGCGCTTTGGGGTCCTTAGGGACTAGTAAAGCGCTATATAAATACAGGCCATTTACCATTTTACTGTTGTCATCCTTCCGAACAGTGGCACAGGCCAAAAGGGACTTAGGACTCCCACCATGTGGTTCCCTTTGATGTTGTTTTGTTTTGCTGTGCACCTCCTGATTTTTGTAACCTTTCCAAGACAAATGGTTGATCTGCAGGTATTTGAATGGGAGGAGAAAATCTTAAAGAAACCTTTGCAGTTTTGAATTCTTTTATTCGTATTTCTGCAATGAAGGGATTTGTCTTTTAATACATATAATCACACATCATTTAAAAGAAGACTGAGGAGGCTAAGTATCAGAATAGTTTAATAAGTTCAACAGGGCTGTAATGATGTGGAGTGATCAGTGAGTCAGCTGTAACCACAGCATCACACTGCAACTAATGATTATTTTTCATTTATCATTTAGTCATCAAAGAATCAAAGTAAGGACAAATTTCCATCAAACTCTTAAATCGCGTACACAAGTTATGATTGAGGTTTGTTTAACAAGGACAGGAAAGTGAGGGAAAAAACCAGCAGAACAACTAATAAATGAGTAAATTGTAAAGATTCTCATCAGGTTGGTGGTGATCTAATGGATTGACTCTACTCACACTGAATTATCAGCTTAATTAACAAACAGTCTGATGTAATTAAGTTTAATGGTCAGTGTCACTTTTGTTTCAGCATTTCGGTTGCTTGCTCGATGCTCATTTTGGAGCTTCTTCACGGGCCACTCAAACCCCTCGGGCATGCAAATGTGATCAGTGGAGTTGTTATTTCAGTTGCTGTGAAAAGGATGTTATTCCATGGATAATGTAAAAGTCTGTGGAATAATAATTTTGTATGTTGTGGGGTAAAATAAAGCCACAAACCACCTACTGGACTCTTTCTGATGTTCAGAAAGGGAACAAAAGTGCTTTTTTGTAGGAGGGGGGCTTTTTATGATGCTTAAGGGCACAGCAGCACCTTTTTTAAAAATCAAATTGAAACCCTGCTGGTTGGTTTTATGCTTCAGATTCATAAGTCACAGATGGTCCCACATGTTGGTCACTCGGTCTGTGTGTGATCAGTTGATGCCATCCTCGTTCAGCAGGAGTTTATTGCGTAAAGCTTCTTTTTTTGGGAATAATGATGTTCCGAAATAAACACGCCTCCCGTTGTGTTGTGTCTGTGGCATGTACTGAATTGTGGTCGCTCTATTCAGCGGGTGCTTGATCTGCGCGCTCTGTTATCTGATCAGATCCATATTGATAACACTTTACAGCGCTAACGTGGTTTTGAGAAAACAGGAAGTTCTGGTCTTTGCATTATGCCAGGTTTTGAGACACTGGGCTTTTTTACCTGCGTCACAGGATGTTAGCAATAATGTTTTGCTCTTCTTTTTTTTTTTTTTTTTTTAATGAAGAATGAATTTTGTTTCAATAAAGGCACCAAGTGGATCTGACTCATTGTTGTTTGCATATCAAAATGATTACGTTTTCATAGTTTTACCTGTCAGAGTAATGGCCCATTCCCACTCAAGGTATTTGTCATATTAAATAAAGAGCACAGGTGGTGTCGTCTGCGACCCAAACCCAATTCGCAGGATGGATACAACCATTTTGGTTTTTTTTTATTTTTTTGTTTTTATTGTGTGGTGTTATTAAAGTGCACATTGAGCATTTCCTTGTGTGATACACTAACAGGGAACAGGCCTTTACTGTGTGGGGAGATCTTTTCTTTTGAATAGACTTTAGCGTTTCCCACAGTTGGATTCATTTTGTGGCGAGTGTGGGACATTAAAACAAAACATGTGAGAGGCATTAATACATTATCTTGTGTTTTCATTTGTGTCCATTGTTTTTTATTTGATTTTAACAATTTGTTTTTGTATTTTTGTTTCTGCAGGAGCCAAAGTCGTCATCTCAGCTGCTGGATGACTGGGGCATGGAGGATATTGACCACGTCTTCACCGAGGAAGACTACCGCTCTCTGACTAACTACAAAGCCTTCAGCCAGTTTGTCAGGTACATGGACGGATGTGATATAAAGTGCTAGATAAATAAAAGTTCAAGTGTGTGGTATCGAGAGCTCGTACACGGTGCAGGTGTAACTGTTTGTTGACTTAGGGTTTTAAAGGGATGTTGGAGAAGAGTGCAACAAAAAGGTGGCAAAGTTAATTTTACCATCTCACGGAAAGTTGCCACTTCCACGGTCCTCTGTTAATCAGTCCAGGATCACCTGCATGGACTCGTCCAGTTGCAGAGAAAGAAGGACCAGCAAAAATATAAATGATGATAATTCAGTTTCCTGCTAATTTACACCGTAAATGCACAGAAACAGAAACCATCTCTAACTCCCAGCATTGCTTCTGTTACTCACTGCTCAGGATGTAACCGTGCAGACTTGTCTGCACAGCAGCTGATACCTAGTGAACATGTGACCCACAGCAGCATCAAAACATTGAACTTTGACTAAAAGAAACTCTGCTAAAGAAACTCATCATGATCAGTAATCAGCGTGCAGTCAGCTGTATGTGTACCATTCGTTTGATGCTAAATGAACTCGTACCCATTCTTAAAATTTTATTTCCTGACACCCGTCTCAGGCCCCTCATCGCTGCCAAGAACCCAAAGATCGCTGTGTCTAAGATGATGATGGTTTTGGGCGCAAAGTGGCGCGAGTTCAGCACCAACAACCCTCTGAGGGGAGCTGCTGCTGCCAACGCTGCCCTGGCTACCGCCAACGTGCCGGCTGCTGTTGACACCATGGTAGCAGAGGTCACGCCGCCCGCCGCAGCACAGCCGCCTCCGGCGGAGCCTCCTCAGGCTCCTGCTCCCCCGCTCCGCAAGGCCAAGACCAAGGAAGGCAAAGGTATCCTGAGCAGGAGAGGTCACATGAAAGGCTAAAATATCAGCCTCCTGTATCTGTGTGACGCTAAACTGAGTTTTTCTTCTCTTCTTTTTTTTTTTTCCGCCCCGGCAGGTCCCAACGCCCGCAGGAAGTCAAAACCTGCACCAAAACCACAAGAGAAGAAGAATAATACGAAAACAAAGAAAGTGGCTCCTCTCAAAATCAAACTGGGGGGCCTCAACAGCAAGAGGAAACGCTCATCAGTAAGTATCAAAATATCATCATCATCATCTGCGTTTTTGTTATTAAGCCCACCACTGTGCCCAGTATAGAATAGTGTTTTTAACCAGTTTATTAAAAAAGTGGGGAATGGGTATTAGTTGGGAAATTAGCTGTTCAATAAGGTAGTGCAGTAAGAGGCACAGGTCAAAGTTCATTCAAGCATTTCTGACGAGTCAGGTTACACCAGCTTGTTTAATGATACCCTGAAGCCAAGGACAAAGCTGTCTGTGCCTCTAACCATGAGGAATTTATTTTGCTTTTGCGTTTATTTGTTTTAATTAACTTTGTGTTACACGTTACTCCACGTAGCTGCAGAAGAAATCGTAAATCTTATTCTCTTAAGCTGAGGGAACCCTGTTGTATCCTAAACGTATCTTAAAATCTTGTGTCCCGTGTGCACAGAGCGAGGAGGATGAGCCCGACGTGGACAGTGATTTTGATAACGGCAGCATCAACAGCGTGGCGGTCTCCGAGGGGTCAAACAGTCGCAGCAGCCGCAGCAAAAAGAAGCCATCCAAGAGCAAACCCAAGAAGAAGAAAGGTGCGTCTTTAAGACTGAAACTAAGCTCAGGTGTGATGAGCCAGTGCTCCTGTGCTTGCTTAAACAGTTGCTGATGGGGCGTAGCGATTGAAGATTGCTGGTTAGCTGTGCAGTAATGACTGCGTTCGGGGTGAAGTATTAGAAGCGTGTGGCCTTCTTGACGACATGAGGAGGAGTGTGCACACACACACATTAATCACTGCGACTGAGTCAGAGGAGTTTGGTATATTTAGAAGGACGATGTCTTCATCAGGCCTGTCGCCTGCTGATGCCTCTTCTGTAGCTGTTGTCACCAGTTGGATGACGTAGTGGATGGAGTCACATGAACTGAAAGAGGACGGAGTCCTCGCAGACACCCTGCTGCGTAGGCGTGGAAACGCTTTTAACTGGTTAAGGTTTTAGCTGTAGATGGAAAGTAAAATTATTGGATTACAGTTTTTGGCCGCGAGTGATTATGAAGGTAAGATAGTCGGAATATAATTATTACAACCTTTCATTTTCACTAAAAAGCAGTTTTTTTTTTTGTTTTTTTTCCTTATAAATCTAATGCACAGATTTCTTGTAGAGCTGTGTGGTTCTGGCTGTAGAAACTCAGACTTGTGAGCACTTTTGATCATCTTGAGGACATTTGCCAGATGAGAAGGAGAGCCTGTTTCTGTAGGGGACGTAAGGCTCCTGTAGAAGAACCTGTGGACAAATTACAAAGGCTGCCTGTGGCTCCTTTTTTTTCCCCCCATCTGGATGTCTAAAGATCCTCAGAAACCACCGTGCTCTATGGTTGCTGAGGGTGCTGTGTTATCTAGGCCTCTTGTCGGCTCATCTCCATCCACAGATGCCCCGGTGGAGACCAGCGAGACACCTTCCTGTCAAAAACATCCTTATTTGAACCTTCAATCTTAAACTGGGAGACTTTGTCTCCTACTATGTGTACTATGTATTTCATTTGAATGTCCAAGGATAACTTTGGCGTGCTGACTGGAGTAGCCAGGAATCGAATCAATCGAATCAACCTCCTGTAGACCGTTTCTCCCTACAGATTTATAACTGTTTAACTATGTTTTATATCAAGATTAGTTATTTATCAAAATAATGATCATTGGGGTTCTACCATATTTGAGCAGCCCTACCCTAAGTGTACTGAAATACAAATGGTCAGTTTATTTATTTAATTTAATTTCACTGTTGTCCGTCGAAGGCACTGCAACTTTTCTTTGGCTTTTGTTCAGCCAGATTCAGGCGAGTGAGGTTTAACACACTCCTGTAGTTTGCGCAAATGTTTTGTTTTTGGTGACACTTTAGATTTTGATCAAACACTTTTAGCTCTTTTTTTTTTTTTTCTTTCCTCCCCACTAACCCAAACTTCATGTTACTGTTGACTTTGGTCAGCAGGCTGAAAATCGGAGTGTTTTTGTTTCTGGCTGTGTTTAGGTGTTTCGGTGGGATCTCTGTCTAAAACAGATAGTTACTTCATCCTAGTGAAGCCCGTCAGTTTCAGTCTGTTGGTGTCATTGAGAGAATCTGAGCTTGAGGGGAAAGAATGACTCACTGAGTAGTTTTTTCTCTGACAAGCAACATAAACACACAGCTCAGTGTCATAAACACCGATCACGGATCACAGCACGTATCACTTCCTGACTCTCTGTTAACGTGAGACGTTAGTGGGTGTAATACTTTTTGTCCTTCCTCATCAGACGTAGAAGATGGTGACGGCTATGAGACGGACCACCAGGACTACTGTGAGGTGTGCCAGCAGGGTGGGGAGATCATCCTGTGCGACACCTGTCCCAGAGCGTACCACATGGTCTGCCTGGACCCTGACATGGAGAAAGCACCGGAGGGCACCTGGAGCTGCCCGCACTGTGTAAGAAACTTCTTGACAACTTACTCCACCTTAAAAAAAAAAATTACCCTTCTGAAGGTCAGACAAAGCACATAAAGTGGCTTCAGTTGCTTAATAATGGACATTTTATTTTATAGTGGTAACATCAGGAGGTTCTAGCTTTCTGATGTTTAAATAAAAGTGCATCTGTTCGATCACAAAGTCTGGGTTCAAACGTTTAAGCGACTTAAAAAATACCCAGATTTTCAGTGTGGAACGGTTACCATTTTTCTTTAATTTGTCACTGGTAACACTGTTTCTTTTTTTAAATCATTAGACACCAGTTAAAATAGTTGGAAACTGTTGTGATTAAAGGTCATAAAGCATAAACTGTCCTGCGATTGCAGGAAAAGGAGGGCATCCAGTGGGAAGCCAGAGAAGACGGCTCCGATGGTGAGGAGGACAACGGAGACGCGGGTGACATGGAGGAGGACGACCACCACATGGAGTTCTGCAGAGTTTGTAAAGATGGCGGAGAGCTGCTCTGCTGCGACTCGTGCCCCTCGTCGTACCACATCCACTGCCTCAACCCACCGCTCCCCGAGATCCCCAACGGGGAGTGGATCTGCCCCCGCTGCATGGTGAGCGAGAGGACGGTCAGGGTTAAACGTGGTGATTGTACTAACATGCGTTATTATTATTTATTGATCATGTGGTCAGTTATGGGATTCTTTAGGTCACAGTGGTTTTAAAAATAAAAGAGAGAGAAGGAGGAAGGATTTGATAATATATAATACCTTGTGCATTATGTTAATATACTAGTTTCCTGTCAGTACCCTTGTTGAGTTTTGGCATAGTGGCACAAGTTCTCCACCAGTGCAGGTTTTGGTTGGGGAGATCTTCCAGAACACAAGGGAACAAGAACTACAGCGGTGGCCCAAAACGGCAGAGGTGGAGTTTGTTTGTTGGATACTCAAAGCCAATGAGTGACATCAGGGACCACAACAATAGTGACCTGACTAACCTGCCAGTAGGAAAACACTAGATGGGATGAAGTGGTGTTAGCTGGTTAGCAGTGATTGAGGGGATTGTCCACTAGTAAACCGATCATGTTGTTGTCATAGGCATTAAAAAAAACATCTGTCCTCTCAAAAGTTCTTTGAAGTTTGAAGTTTTTTGTAGCGATAACTTATTTTTAAAGCTGAAACTGTTTTTAAATTTTAGTGGCTCAACTGAATTTTTTTTCTTTTTCACCAGTTTTAATTAAAAGCATCCAAAAAGACTTAAACCTTTACTGTCCCCCTCCCCTCCAGTGTCCACCCATGAAGGGGAAGGTCCAGAAAATCTTGACATGGCGCTGGGGAGACCCCCCTCCTCCCACACCGGTTCCCCGTCCCCCAGACCTCCCAGCTGATGCCCCCGACCCCGCCCCGCTGGCAGGGCGGCCCGAGAGGGAGTTCTTCGCCAAATGGTGCAACATGTCCTACTGGCACTGCTCGTGGGTCACGGAGCTCCAGGTGTGTACAGCTTCAGGAAAGCTTTAAATCTCTCTGATAGCTGAACCTCATCCTAAACTTTTTCTCGTGCATGTTGTGTAGCTGGAGCTGCACTGCCAAGTGATGTTCAGGAACTACCAGAGGAAGAACGACATGGAGGAGCCGCCCCCCATCGACTTTGGGGAAGGAGAGGAGGACAAGTGTGTCAAGAGGAAGAGCAAGGACCCCATGTATAAACATCTGGAGGAGAAATACCTCCGCTTTGGGATTAAGATGGAGTGGCTGATGGTTCATCGAATCCTTAACCACAGGTCAGTCTGAGCTTCTTACAGACACAATGTTACACAGATTAGACTTCAGCTCTGATTCTGTACTTATTCATAAACCATCAAAAAGAGTCACTTTTTCTATCAGAATAAATTATTTTGATTTAATTATAAACTTTTTTAGATTTTAGATTTTTAATTCAATTCAGTTCAATTCAATTTTATTTATATAGCGCCAAATCACAACAAAAGTCGCCTCAAGGCGCTTCATAGATACAGAGAAAAACCCAACAATCATATGACCCCCTATGAGCAGCACTTTGGCGACAGTGGGGAGGAAAAACTCCATTTTTACAGGAAGAAACCTCCGGCAGAACCAGGCTCAGGGAGGGGCGGGGCCATCTGCGGCGACCGGTTGGGGTGAGAGAAGGAAGACAGGATAAAGACATGCTGTGGAAGAGAGACAGAGGTTAATAACAGATATGATTTAATGCAGAGAGGTCTGTTAATACATAGTGAGTGAGAAAGGTGACTGGAAAGGAAAAACTCAATGCATCATGGGAATCCCCCGGCAGCCTATGTCTATAACTAAGGGAGAATCCAGGGTCACCTGGTCCAGCCCTAACTATATGCTTTGGCAAAAAGGAAAGTTTGAAGCCTAATCTTGAAAGTAGAGATTGTGTAAACACTAATGAAGTAATCACACTATCTCTCTAAACTTATTCTATTCAATCTTAATTTTTGTCATTCTCACTGTTCTGGAGTGAACAATGTACTAAAGACAACAAATAACTTTGATTAAATCTTCTGTGCCGGCTCCCCCCCCCCAGTGTGGACAGAAAAAATAACGTCCACTACCTGATCAAGTGGAGAGAGCTGCCGTACGACCAGGCGACCTGGGAGGCCGAGGACATGGACATACCCGAGTATGACCCGTACAAACAGCAGTACTGGAACCACAGGTGAGTTAAGTTCTGCACAGCTGTGTTAACAACCTGAAACTTGCCGCTTTTTACTCATAGTGCGTGTTTGTTCCAGAGAGCTGATGATGGGAGAGGAGGGAAGACCTGGGAAGAAGATAAAGGTGAAAGGAAGAGTGAAGCGGCCTGAAAGGCCTCCTGAGAACCCGGTGATCGATGTAAGTTGGAATTAATGAGTCTTTGTGAGGGAATGAGTCCTCAAACTCAGACATTACCAAGAGTCAGTGGGTTTTAGGTGACTTTATGCTCGCTGCACTGATCACAACTAGAGCAGGGCGATATGGCCAAAAAATTTTATCACGATATAGATTTGAAAATTTGCGATAACGATATAACTGACTATATAATTGATGCGAGACAAAATACAACTCCACAACTTTACTAGCGCAACCCCCCCCCCCCAATCCATTTATTTTCACTTAAACAAGCAGCTGTTTTTATGTGCATTAAAGCTCTATAAAAAGTAGAAATGGGCTGACATATCCTGAGCATAACCATGTATAATATCCACTGAAGTTAAAACGAGGTGCTTTGCAACAAACTGCAGTGTGCCAAATAAAAAATAAAAAAATCCAATACATATTTGTCGGACCATAAGCTGCACGGGATTATGAGGCACATTAAGCGAAACAAAGCAGTCAGATAAATCTTTATTAAACTTTATTAAACTCATTCTTCTTGCTTCCTCCACTTCTGTACCATTGATTCATTGATGCTGTATTCTATCACAGCTGCTCTGTTCCCATGTTGTTGCAGTATATTAATGACTAACCTCGTATTGTGGATGGATTATCTCAGTTGTTCTCCTGACTGGTCCGTTTACAGCATCCTGCCATGAGATTGCATTTGTCTCTAACCATCAGGAACCTTCACGTTAACTTTTATTGATTGGAAAAAAGTTAGTGTTCATCCTCCAGCTTCACTGTTTATGTTATGCTAACATAGCTGTGTTGCTAGCGATCACGTAGCACATCATTATATACCAGCTAGCCCAACTTCAGTAACCCTACAAACGTCACTGCTGTTTAGTTTTCTGTCTTCATTTATGTTGGAAGTGATAGCAGAGCTGTACGTTTTAATTTTTTCCAGAAATCTCTCAGTCAGAACATGCTATATCATGTTTAGGTGGAAGCTAGCGAGCTAACTTCCTGCTAACTTCTAACTCTGTTAGATGTAATAAATGCTGTTTTCATGGATGCCTGGATGTTAAACTTCATAGTTACACCTGGTAAACCAGCAATGCTGATCGTTTTTTAAAAGGTGAAAGAATTTAGTTGGTCTTTCTAAGTTCTGGTTACCATTTACTGGAACATTTGGGAATTCAAATTCAACAACAATTATCTAAAAGCACAAAAATAACCCTGATGCATGAACATCCTCCAAAACTGCTCAGTTTGCCTCTAAAATGGACTGTTTTTTTAATACAGTAAAACTAAATGGCACTCAACTAGGAAGTGTTTTCTTTCTACCATTGACATCCATCAACTGACATCTTCGTGGTTGGTTTTTAGCAACTTTGAGGTCAATTGCCATTTAGTTCCATATGATTCATGAGAAAGCCAGTACCTCCAGAACTGGATGAGCCGCATTCCAAAATGCAGATGAATAAATCCCTACAAGAACCAGAGGGAAGAAAATGTTTAAATGAGGTTATGTGCCCTCAAACTCTTCCTGATATTCCTGAGGCCTGGCTGTCTTTGGTGAGGTGGGCTTCTTTTCCTCTGTTGTGGGAGTGTGGGAGTTGGGCATCAGCTCTTTGGAGCTGGGCTGTCCTGTGCCACCGCGGCTGTGTCCTGGCACCCCAATGGTGCCAGCTGGTTTCAGTTCTGGGCTGTGGGTCTGTTCGTTGTCCCTCAGCTCCTACACTACTGTGGGTCCCTGCTGTGCCCACGTAGAGTTTCTGGGTGGTCTTGATGTCAGACTTCCTGTAGTTATAAATTTATATTTTCTTTAAATAAAATAAAAAAAATTCCTGATATTCCTGATTATAGGGCGCCTTGATTGCGTCTGCCCTTGTTTATAAATTGTAATTCTTCCGTTTCCAGCCCACCATCAAATTTGAGCGTCAGCCAGAATATCTGGACAGCACGGGGGGGACGCTGCACCCCTACCAGCTGGAGGGTCTCAACTGGCTGCGGTTCTCGTGGGCTCAGGGCACCGACACCATCCTGGCCGATGAGATGGGTCTGGGCAAGACGGTGCAGACCGCCGTCTTCCTTTACTCGCTGTATAAAGAGGTGAGTGGCTGTGAGAAGCTGGATTCTGTTATACCCCTGTGGCGCCGCACATGCTGAAGCTGTAACTGTATATCTTCTTCTGTGGTTAGAAAGCTTTGGGTCTAGCTCTTCTCCGCCTTTTTGTTGGAAATTTGAGCTTCTACTCGAACTAGACTTAAACAGTTTTACTTATGTGATTTTTATTTCTTTTTTTTGTTGAATTTAGTTTGAGATGAAATGAATTTTTCGTTCAGTGCTACAACTCAGCGGTGCTCTGTGTGGCTACGTTATGTCTGTAGGTGGCTGTCATCCTATTGGCTAGCAGCCATCCAGCCATTTTGTATAAACCAGGTGAAATCTGACGACATTAAGCTGGATCAGAAACTGTAAACCACTACTCATCATATGTGCGGCTGCTGCCACCTGAAGGTGGGAGGCCAGAATGCACTTCCTGCAAACTTCCTCCAACTGAACTTACTAGGATTTTATTGACAATATTTTTAGTTTCTTTATTGATTTGTGGGAAAAGCAGCTTAAATATGCTTTCAGTCATAGACTCATTAGTTGAAATCAGCGATCGACTGCCCCGAGATGTTGACATTTTTTGTAATGCACAGAATATTTTACAGATTAGTTAAATTTGGGAATCCCAAGAGTTTGAACACTTTTATTTACCAGGTGGAGTTAAGACCAGTGGGTCTGGGGCAAAGGTCGTTGGTCATTAAGTGAAGCGCTGGTGACCTTCATCTGTATGATGCTTTACACTCACTTCTCGTCTCCTCATCCAGGGTCACTCCAAAGGACCGTTCCTGGTCAGCGCGCCCCTCTCCACCATCATCAACTGGGAGAGAGAGTTTGAGATGTGGGCGCCTGACATGTACGTAGTGACATACATCGGAGACAAGGACAGCAGAGCCGTCATCCGGGAGAACGAGTTCTCCTTCGAGGATAACGCCGTCCGAGGAGGCAAGAAGGCCTCCAGGATGAAGGTAAGGAGATGGCGGAGTGAGTGGAAATCCGTAAAACAAATGGCAAAAAAAAAAAGAAACCTCAGAAAAAAAGTGTGTTCAAGTTTGAGTTTTGGCGATTTCCTCCAACAGAAAGATGTATCCATCAAGTTCCACGTTCTGCTGACGTCTTACGAGTTGATCACCATCGACATGGCCGTCCTGGGCTCCATAGATTGGGCCTGTCTGGTGGTGGACGAGGCCCACAGGCTAAAAAACAACCAATCAAAGGTACAACACACAGGGGATGGGCGCTTTCGCACAAGCGAATCATTTTTCAGCAACAACGCGGGCAATAAAAATCCCAGACTGTAATAACAAAACGAAGAAAAGCTGTTCTGTGGTTGAATCAGAAGTTTATCTGAATCATCGGTCTGCTTGTCGGCATGGTTACTTGAAACAGCTGTAATAAATCTGTTGTGAGTGCGTCTGAATTGAAAACATGTGCAGCTGCCTGTGAATTCTCACTCAGCCTGATCCTGTTATAAACATTTTTGTTTCCCCCTGCTGTAGTTTTTCCGGGTGTTGAACAACTACTCCCTGCAGCACAAACTGCTGCTGACTGGAACTCCTCTGCAGAACAACCTCGAGGAGCTTTTCCACCTGCTCAACTTCCTCACGCCCGAGAGGTTCAGGTGAGCCTGAGCTCTGTTGTAAAAATGTATCGCTTTACTGTCAGATAAGTAAAGGAATACCTCACGTGTGATCTGGTTTCTCTGTCATTTCTTTTTCTGCAGTAAATTGGAGATCTTCTTGGAGGAGTTTGCCGACATTGCCAAGGAGGACCAGATCAAGAAGCTACACGACATGCTGGGTCCGCACATGCTCAGGAGGCTGAAGGCTGACGTCTTCAAGCACATGCCCTCCAAGACCGAGCTCATCGTCAGAGTGGAGCTCAGCCAGCTGCAGAAGTGAGTCGGGTGGTTGGTACAGCAGCAGCTGTAGAAGAGAGGTCAGAGGAGGCTGAATGTTTGTGGTCTGTTTGCAGGAAATATTACAAATTTATCCTGACGAAAAACTTTGAGGCTTTGAACACCAAAGGAGGAGGAAACCAGGTTTCACTGCTCAACGTCGTCATGGACCTCAAGAAATGCTGCAACCACCCCTACCTCTTCCCCGGGGCTGCTATGGTACGACCCAAACACCAGGGAGAGACCATTTATTTAAGAAGGAGGCTGTGGACGGCTCCTACTGTTCTACCTTTGGAAAAACCTTTTATGAAACCTTAACATTTGATTGGTCCCAACAGGAAGCTCCAAAGATGCCCAACGGGATGTATGATGGAAATGCTCTCATCAAGTCTTCAGGGAAACTGATGTTACTGCAAAAGATGATGAGGAAGCTGAAGGAGGGAGGACACAGAGTGCTAGTTTTCTCTCAGGTACAACGCCGGACGTCTCAAACAATCTGATACTAAAGCTAAATCAACTTGGAAGTCTTTTTATCCTAAACTAACCTTTCTCTCTTTTTTTCTGTAGATGACTAAAATGTTGGACTTGCTAGAAGACTTCCTGGAGAACGAAGGCTACAAGTACGAGAGGATTGACGGAGGAATCACAGGAGGGATGAGACAGGAGGCCATTGACAGATTCAATGGTGAGTTGATCCTTATCTCACCTGCTCTCTTCTCTTCCTTCACCTTTCATATCTTTTCCACTCCTGTGTATCAACGCTGGATTCATCACACCTGGAAAAAACTGCTTTCCTATTGGAAAAACTGGAATAACGAATGAAAGCTTTGCAGGTTCTTTTTGGAACGCTGTCCAGGGGGTCGAATTGGGTCCTTTTATAGGGGGCAGAATGTAAACATCACCGGCTTTAGGATTGTTCCAGTTGATTCACTAAATCTGATTCTTGAAGCAACTTTATTCTCTTTCCTACTTCATCCTTCAGCTCCTGGTGCTCAGCAATTTGCCTTCCTGCTGTCGACGAGAGCCGGAGGGTTGGGAATCAATCTGGCTACTGCCGACACCGTCATCATCTACGACTCGGACTGGAATCCGCACAATGACATCCAGGTACAGTCGCAGAGACATTAGTCATCACTCACACATTCACCCAAACCGCTTATTCACACGTGTATTTTTGCTTTCAGGCCTTCAGCAGAGCTCATCGTATCGGTCAAAACAAGAAGGTGATGATCTACCGATTCGTCACCAAGGCCTCAGTGGAGGAGAGGATTACTCAGGTAAATATAAGCCGAGTCCCACAGAGTTGTAATCTTGGCTGGTTGCTCTTATAAAATTTCCCTCTCTCCTTACCTGCTCCGCTCTCTCCAGGTTGCCAAGAAGAAGATGATGCTGACTCACCTGGTGGTCCGGCCTGGCCTCGGATCCAAGACGGGCTCCATGTCCAAGCAGGAGCTGGATGACATCCTCAAGTTTGGAACAGAAGAGCTGTTCAAGGATGAGGGAGAAGGTGAGGGTGGAGGGAAGCTTGGGAGAAGACAACAGAAAGAGAGAGGGAGGGAAAATTATGTGAACTGAAGTCTGTGCGTCTGCAGGTGAGAACAAAGAGGAGGACAGCAGCATCATTCACTACGATGACAAAGCCATAGAGCGACTACTGGACAGGAACCAGGACGCCACTGACGACACGGAGCTGCAGAGCATGAATGAATACCTGAGCTCCTTCAAAGTGGCTCAGTATGTGGTGAAAGATGAGGAGGAGGAGGTGAGCGCCTGAGCCCATCAGGAGTGACCTTCATACACCCAGCTCCCCTTTTGTCCTTTTAACCACCTTCGTCCTTCTTGTTGCTCAGGAGGAGGAGGTGCAGCGGGAGATCATTAAGCAGGAGGAGAGCGTGGATCCAGACTACTGGGAGAAGCTGCTGCGTCACCATTACGAGCAGCAGCAGGAGGATCTGGCCCGAAACCTGGGCAAAGGCAAACGTATCCGCAAGCAGGTCAACTACAACGACGGCTCTCAAGAAGACAGAGGTGAGAGGGCGTCTTCTTCTACTCTTACTTTTTAGAGAGGGGAAAACAGTGTTTTATATGTATAAAATAAAATGGTCTAAGAACAGATTTAGTGTTTTGTGCTCAAAACATTTGAGGAAAACGCACGGGTGTATTAGAGTTCAGAGTTTTCAGTGAGGAGTTTCTCCCCTGCTGAGGGGGAAGCTTGAGTTTAAGGTCACTTCTCTCTTCAAGTGTCTCTAATGATGTCGTTGGTCGCTTTACATAAGGAAGAAGGGTTTTCGCTTCTCTTCATGGCTCAGTGAAAAAATAAAAAACACCTGATGAAATGGATTTTGAACATTTAATGAAAACTATGGTAAATGGCCTGCATTTGTATAGCGCTTTTCTAGTCTCTAAGGACCCCAAAGCGCTTCACACTACATTCAGTCATCCACCCATTCACACACACATTCACACACTGGTGATGGCAGCTACATTGTAGCCACAGCTGCCCTGGGGCGCACTGACAGAGGCGAGGCTGCCGGACACTGGCGCCACCGGGCCCTCTGACCACCACCAGTAAAATAAAAACGGGAACATCCATCCTCCTGTGCTGCCTCCTCACATGCCCTTCCCCCTTTTCTTCTCCTCACTTTTCACCTTCTTTTTCCACTTCCCCTTTCTTCCTCTCCATTTCCCCTTTTTCTTCTTCTTCTAACACCCCTCCCCATTACCTATTTCTATGATGAGTCCCCCCCCTTTGACTTCACCTTTGACCTTTGGTTAAAAAAAAAAAAACTTTTCTGAAAAACTTGTAGGATTTTCAAACTTATAACATCTACTAGGAGACTGATCACTGCCTCTCCCAGGGTTTTGCTCTACTGCTTCTTTCTCCTTCCCACCTCCCTCATTTCTCCTGCTCCTCCCCCTTTGAATGGGGCTTCTGGTGAAGGGGAGCAGTGCTCAAAGAATCTCAGCCTGATTTATAAGAAAAACTGTAGATTACATGAAACAAGCTGTGGTGTGCGTACGTGCAGATAGAGAAATGATGAAATTTAAATCTTCCTTTTTACTTTTGTCTCAAAGCTGATTGGCAGGATGACCAGTCAGATGGCCAATCAGATTATTCGGTGGCATCTGAGGAGGGCGATGAGGACTTTGACGAGAGATCAGAAGGTAAAAACTTGGTTAACTTGTTTCCTGAGGTCCAGGATGAAATGTTTAATATTTGCTGTGTACATTTAAAGCAGTCTAATTAGTGCTGGTTACTTCAAGTACATAAAAACAGGATCTCCAGCTTCACTTACTCACAAAATTGTTCTGTTTTAAAAAATATGTTTTGGAAAAGTGACTCATGTTAAACCTGCAGAACAGAATAACTAAAGGTTTAAACGACAGATAAGAGAAACTGAATGTATTATAAGCTTTTAACTCAATAAACTCTGAATGTCATTCTGTAGACGGAAAAGGGAAACATTAATTTTGAGTGTTGCAGCACGGTCTGCCTCCCTGCAGAGTGTTTCTTATCATCTGTAAAATCACCAGCGTTGTTTCCTCTCTGCAGCCAACTCTCGCAGGCCGAGCAGGAAGGGCCTGAGGAACGACAAAGACAAACCGCTGCCTCCCCTGCTGGCCAGGGTGGGGGGCAACATCGAGGTGAGCGTCTCAGAGACTCAAAGCTTCAAATATCTCAGATTCTAAGTGTATCAGTGGTGACCTTGTTCTTTGAATAGTCTTTAAGGTATAATGGTGGTATATCTCAAAACTCAAATATCGTGGATCTTATGACTGTTTGTTCTCTGTATGTAAACTCTGACGTTTCCCAGGTTTTGGGCTTCAACTCTCGGCAGAGGAAGGCCTTCCTGAACGCAGTGATGCGTTATGGGATGCCCCCACAAGACGCCTTCACCACCCAGTGGCTGGTCCGAGACCTGCGAGGGAAATCTGAGAAAGAATTCAAGTGAGGATCTCAGCTTAAATACAAACACGTGGCTTCCACTGAAGACAGTGAAGTCTTCTGCCACATTTTAAACTGATGTAATAAATCTTTTTATTGCTTCATCTTTTAAACCCCCTCAGGGCCTACGTGTCTTTGTTTATGCGTCACCTCTGTGAGCCCGGGGCCGACGGGGCCGAGACCTTTGCGGACGGCGTCCCCAGAGAAGGACTGTCTCGGCAGCACGTCCTCACCCGCATCGGAGTCATGTCACTTATTCGCAAAAAGGTAATGAAGGCACTCTTTCTTTCATTTTGTAATAAGAGGCTAACAGCTGTAGATCGCCTTAGGGTTGGTTCATACGCTTGTTTTGAAGAACTTGGTTTGTTTGTTTTGTTGGAAATGCATTTGAAGCTAGAAATGAACCAGCAGTCTGCAGCAGGAATTTGATTCTCTGCTGTCTTCATAGTTCCACTTGTGCTTTCAGGCTCTTTCTATGTGTAAAAACTGTTACCGGTCACTTAAAAGTACAGTTAACCTCCGACACTTTGGCTCATCGGACCAAAAGCAAAACTTTTTTCCATCTTCAAGTAATGAGAGGTATTTGAGGATGAGTGTATGTTTTTCTTTTTATTCTCTCTGTGTAAACTCAGTCAAGCTTTCCTATTTTTTCTTACTAAACTGGGATGACTGGGTTTGTTGGAGTATAGCAGTATAACATTTTATTCAACAGGGTTTTGCAATTTTTGCTTTTAAATCTAAGTTGACTTTACCTGCAGGGGCCCTGGACACACAAATGACTGAAAAAGAAAAACAAATTATGCTTAAAAGAAACTTTGTCTGAATATTTCTCAGTTAAAAGCATTTTTTTCTTAATAATTTTCTTTAAGAATCAGTAACAACCTTTTAGAGTTAAATAAAACTCTGCGTCTGTAACATCTTCACTGTTTTGAACTCCAGAGCTTGTAGGAGATCTGTTGTACTTGTTAGCTGCAGGCTGGGCTCCAGAGACCGTCTTTAGTGAACGAGTGGAGTTGAAGCTTAAATGAGTTAAATCTGGTCTCAGGGGGGAAACTCTGGTTTTGTTTTATAAATGCGGCATTTCTAATGTGTTTGAAGTAAATGCCACTTCATTTAGAAGCTGGTAGGCGAAAAGTCAAAACTGAACAATTTCATGACACCCAGCGGTGAAATGCTGCCCCCTGGTGGTGAAAGCTTTGGTTAAAATATACAAAAGTTATTTAGAAAAACAAGGATGAAAAGGATGAGATTTTTATTTTATTTTGTTTCTATTTCGTTTGAGCAACATGTAGAGACGTCTTGCTGACGCGCTCGCCTGTTTTCCAGGTTCAAGAGTTCGAGCACGTAAACGGCCAGTGGTCGATGCCCTGGATGGCCGAGCTGGAGGAGAACAAGAGGGCCGCGGCTCAGCCCGATTCTCCTGCAAAAACGCCGTCCACCGGCACCCCCGCCGACACGCAGCCCAACACGCCTGTGCCAGGTAACACTCACACTGGAGCTAAACCAACAAACACACAAGTCATACAGGATACTCGATGTGTTTGTGATGAAAAATAAAGCGTATAAAAATAGAACAATATCATGAGATACTTTGTGTTTGTAGTCGACGACTCCTCGAAGGACTGTGAGAAGGACGTGAAGAAAGAGGGCGAGGCAGAGAAGAACGGTAAAGAGGCCGGAAAAACCAGCAACGAGGTAAAGACTGAGTGCTGTGAATGAAATCGGGTTTATGGAGTCGGAAGGAGGAAAGATTTTTAATCTTCCACGTCTCCGGCAGGTGATCGCCATCCCAGACGATGACGAGAAGAGTCCGTCAGCCGAGCAGGAGAAGAAGAACGGGGAGCCAATGGAGACGGACAAACCGAGCAATGGCGAAACGGAGGGCGTGAAAGAGAAAGAAGGCGAGAAGATGGAGGAAGGAGAGGGTGAGAAGAAGAGTCCAGAGGGAGCGGAGGAAACGAAGCCCCCCTCAGAGGCAAAGACAGAGGGGTCAGAGGTCAAACCTGAGGATGCAGAGGTCAAAGGTAAAACTAGTCACTCGGGATTCTTCCTGTTTTAATATATTTTTAAATAAAACTTTAGAGAGTAAGTGATAGAGATACACCTTGTTATTTGGTTACTAAGTTCTTCCTTTTTTAAAAAAATCTTGATTTCAGCAGAAGAAAAGAAGGAAGAGAAGACAGAAAAGATGGACACCACGCCTCCCGCAGATGAAAAGAAAGGTGCCGATGACGTTTCCTGCAGGGTTTCTCGCCGCTCTCTGACGCTCTGCTGTCGTTAATTGTGATTCCTTTTTCATCCTCCCGCAGATGTGAAGGAGGAGAAGGAGACTCAGAAACCAGTGGAGTCGGCGGCCAAACTGCAGAACGGAGACGGCAGCAAGGAGGGAACGGCGTCGACCGCCGCTGCCACGGCGAGCGGGGCCAGCGAGGAGAAGAAGAAAGCCAAGACTCGGTTCATGTTCAACATCGCAGACGGAGGATTCACAGGTACACGCTGGCTCAGACTCAAGCACAACTCATTCGAATGTTTTCAATTCAGCGCTGACTCACGTGTTTCTCTCAGAGCTCCACTCACTGTGGCAGAACGAGGAGCGCGCTGCCACGGTAACCAAGAAAACCAACGAGATCTGGCATCGCCGCCACGACTACTGGCTGCTGGCCGGCATCATACAGTATCCTTTGCACACCTGTCTGTCTGTTTGGCTTCCCTGGAGACTAAAACAATAGCACTGAATGTGAGATCAGAGTCTGTTGTTTCCTTTGACCTCTACCTCCTTCAGACACGGTTACGCCCGCTGGCAGGACATCCAGAACGACGTCAAGTTCGCCATCCTCAACGAGCCTTTTAAAGGAGAGATGAACAGAGGAAACTTCCTGGAAATCAAGAACAAGTTCCTCGCCAGAAGATTCAAGGTATGAAAGATTTGACTTTAAAGATATTTTTTTCTGATAAAGACTTGTTTCAGGTAAAGGACGACATCAACACTGTTTGTGTTTCTGATCGTTTTCTTCCACTCATCTGATATTCGATGTTACAGAGGAGATGGATCTTTGAACTGAGCAGAACATTTAAAATAAAATGACTCTTTGTTCGCCTCCGCTGCAGCTGTTGGAACAGGCGCTGGTGATCGAGGAGCAGCTGCGACGCGCCGCCTACCTCAACATGTCGGAGGACCCCTCCCACCCCTCCATGGCCCTCAACACCCGCTTCAGCGAGGTGGAGTGTCTGGCCGAGTCTCACCAGCACCTCAGCAAGGAGTCCATGTCCGGGAACAAACCGGCCAACGCCGTCCTGCACAAAGGTAACGTCGGCGAGCAGGCTTAGCTGTTTGTTTTTAGAGTCGCGCTGCTAAAAATGTCAACTTTGTCTGATTTTTAAGATAAAAGCACCTTGAGAACATTAAGATAAGTTGTGAAGAACCTCAAAAATAACTCTAATGTATGTGTCTGTCCTCCCTCAGTGCTGAAGCAGTTGGAGGAGCTGCTGAGTGACATGAAGGCGGACGTCACCCGGCTGCCTGCAACCATCGCCCGGATACCGCCGGTTGCAGTCCGACTCCAGATGTCTGAGAGGAACATCCTGAGCCGCTTGGCAAGCCGAGCACCTGAACCACAGCCGCAGACACAGCAGGTAACTAACACACACACACACACACACACACACACACACACACACACACACACACACACACACACACGACATCTCTCTGACCCCACCTCTCCGTTCCTCCCCCGGCAGATGTCGCAGCAGTGAGACTGAACGTCGGCTCTTTACCTCGAAAACCACCCCCTGCCTCACCTCGACATTCCTGATTGGTGCACAGGAGTAAGACAGACTTCGCGCCTCAAGCTTGAAGCCACGCCCACTTCACATTTTTTGGTTTTGTTTGTTTGTTTTGATTACCCCCACCCCTGAAAAAAAGGACTTTACAGATTTTTCCCCCCCGGAGGATCAAATCCCCCTCCCCTCCCCACCGAGAACGAGGCTGTGGACAGAAAAGCTGTTTTATTTTTTCCTCCATTTTTTTCAACTTCTGTATTAATATTATTGATATAATGTTATTATGATGGTTTTTTTTGGGACCTAAACAAAATAAAAAAATTAAATGAAGTTTTGTTGGAGCTTAAGTGATCCTCATAAAAACTCTGCCAACTTTTTATATCCGGTATAGTTGTTTTTCTCTGTGTTGTAGCAGCAACGATGTTAAAGGAGGAGGTGTGAGTCCTGCACATGTGGCAGCTTTGTGACTTAAAGATGTGATTTGTTTTTGAGAATTTAAAGAATTAATTGGCCAAGTGAAAGAAAATGGAAGGATGACAGGTGTTTGCTGCTGTTCAAGCTTTACACACATTATAACTTTACTGTTTTTGTTCACTTTCTCGCGGTTAAAGTTCCTCCGGCTTGTTGTGATTTGCATTTTTAACTTTAGCGCTTCACCTCACAGGAGTCTCCACCAGCCAGCAAGCTTAGCTCCAGGTACTTGACGGCAAGCCACTGGCCGCATTGTTGGCTGTACCTGTTCAACTCCTCATTAACACAAATATCAAATTAAATGGCTGCCATGTTATTGGTTGGTGCACTCGGGCATGTACGCGTGGGGAAGAGAGGTGACTGTGAATGTGGAATGGTGTGAGATGGGCTGTTCCGACTATTTTTAAAGAAATTGCTGATCTGCTTTGGAGAGGCTACGTGGGTAAATCAGAGTCCAAAATGGAGAAAATGTCCAGAGTGCAGCAGAGTACTTGTTGATGTCAGAGGAGCTGGCCTGTTCAAGCTGACAGGAATGCAACAGTGACCTCAAATGACCACCAGGTACAACCGAGTGCAGCCTGGAAACAAATGCACGCATGCATCTCTCCCATCAGGAAACGAGTCACAGCCCACAGACTGAAGAAAAGCAGTCCTCAGGTACGTCTGTGTCCACACGTCATCAAACTGGTTTCTCATGACTGAGTTCACTGTACTCGAGGCCTCCACCGTGTGGCGCCATTGTATTCATATGGACCCAAATCTCAGGAGTGTATCCAGTACCTTTGTACCACGAAGAGCCGAAGCAGCACTGAAGGAGGGTTGAATCCAGTACGAGTAAGGTGTGACCACGAAAGTATATTTATCAGGTAACTGTATTTTAAACTCCTTTAAATGTCACCAAGTCCTCAATGACCCACGCGGTGTTCGTATTTTTAGTTTGGTTTAATGTTTCTCACTATGAGACTTCACCTGAAAGGCAAAATCTTCCGCTCTATTAAAATGTGCCTCCTCAGGTGGTCGACTGCTGCACATTCAACGTGGACTCATTTAAAACACAAGCCCTTTAAAACCTATAGTTTGTATTTAGGCTGAAGAATATTAAAGATGCCAAACAAACAAGGGCACAAAGACGCTGTGTGTGTGTAGCAAACATGACTTTATTAGAAAGTCCAGGCTGTTCTCTCTGAGCGTGTCAAAGAAGTACAGAAGAAACACTGACGATGATGATGAGCCACTCCCACCTTCCACCATTCGGTCTAAGATGGACTAATATATTTCAAAGGTTAAATAATCACTTCAGCCTCAAAGCTCCTTCACACACAGGGGACCGATTCAGGCTGAACAAAGAAACACGTTGAACATTCAAACCACAGATAACAAAACTCAGGCTGGTTCACAACACGATGAAACAAATGCAGGACAGCCGGACGGAGCTGGGCAAGCGAGCAGGTGGGTTAATCACGCAGGAAGTCAGATTTCTGCTCAGTAATGGTCTGCACCGAGAGAAGAGCCCAGCAGGAATCTGTAAACCCAGGTTTAACACAGAAAGAGCAGCTGTGCTTAAATGTTTCAAGCTCGAGTAGGAAACCTGATTTCAGTGTCACTCATGAGGATTCGTGGCGTGAGCGTTAGGATGAAGAGCGAGGAAGTCAGAATTGGTCGATTTAGGCAACAAACTGTTCTGAGAGGTGAGCAGGTTCATCATAGTCGGGCTTCCTCTGCTGCTGGATCATCGAAACCTCAAAGCCTGACAGAGACGATGGGTTTCAAGCCTGATAACAAAGTTCGATGCAGGCTTTCGTCTTTACAAAGCTGTAACTTTACAGAAAAGATGAATATCTCTAATTTCCCTTCCTGCTGATCTGGCGATCCAGTGTCACTCCTGCCTTTATTAAGATTTCCATGACTGACGATGAGAATCCTAAAGGCTGCATTATGTGAACTGAATTATCGTACGTTTAAATTTACTTGGATAGATGATTTTATATTTAAAGCACAAAGCCTAACTTTGTAGAGATTTTTAGTATAACACGGAAACCTCATTTTATTTCAAGATTAGTCTGCAATGCTGCTCCTTTCCTTTGTATTTAAGGAACTCAAACAACTCTTTTGGATGCTGCTCACATCCCTCTGGGTCACTCAGAAGCCCTCTGAAGAGAAGCCAGCTGATTATTCGACTTCAGCTCTTACTGGTGTCCAGTAAACCTCACACTGCTTCCTGTCCATGAATCTTGCATGCACTGAGCTGCAGAAAAACCAGGCGCAGCAGGAGGTTTTTTCTTTTTGTTTCAGTGTTTAAAGGACAAACCTGGGTCAACAGATTTTACACCTGCAGTAAACCCAACCCGGTAACAAAGTCAGGAAACCGGCCTCATGCGGAGGCACAATAAGGAGGTAGTGGAGCACATTACGTGAGCATGCATGGAGGCTTTGGAGGAAGGCATCGCTGGGGTGGAGGAGCACTGAGGAGAGGCTGGATTTGGTGTTCGGTGGTGCAGACTCGTCCTGTGACTTGTTCGTCCATCCCTGAAGAGCAGCTCAGTAGAAGAAATACACTGAGGACAGCAAACACAGATATTTGTCTCTGAGTGATATTTAAAAGTAAAAAGAAGCTTTTATAACCCTTAGAGTGCAACAGACTGTAAAATCCTCCTAGGACGTCTCCTGGTGCAGCTCTGGATCATCTTCTGCTTGTCTGCTTTTTTAGGCTGCTCTGATTGCTCTGTACTTTCAAACATCAACTTCTGCATCAAACTGCTCTGATTTTACACGAGGATCTGCAGCTCTGAGTGCAGACAGCAGTCAGTGATGGGTGCAGCTACCGGCTCTGAAAGTAAAGTAAAGTAAAATTTGCTAGCCTTTGACAAAACCACCTGAAATCTGCCACATGCTAAATCTTTAATCAACACAAGTCCTAATCAGCAGAGTGTGTCTGCAAACTTTCCTTAAAATGGGTTTTAATGTTTCTGCAGAAGAAGCAGAACAGGGCTTCCAGGAAGCTGAACCTCTATACTGAAAATGCTCCACAGGTGCACATAAGGAGGCCAAGAAACCACATGCAAAAATAAGAGAAGGCTTTATTTTACTCACAGAAAATGACGCCAACAAATATAACACCTACAATGGCCATGATGATCATCATCTGGAAGAAAGACAAAACAAACAGAGCCATCAGAAACAAAAGATGAACTTAAGAAGATGAAACAGCTGTTTAATTCCACCCAGACAATAAATCACTCCATCGTCTGCTGCTTATCAGCCTCCAACCCCCTCCTCCAGCTCCTCAGAGGGGATACTGAGGTGTTCCCGGGTCAGCAGAGCCATCCTCTCTCCAGCTTTTCTTCAGTCTGCTCGGGGTCTCTTCTAACCCAGACATGTGTCCACCAAACCTGGCTTGTTTGTTGAGAAGCGCTGGCTCCTGTTTGAGCGCTTTCCGGAGCACTGTGGTCCTAGCTAGAAATAATCTTTCACTTTAATTTTAAGTAGAAACAGTGCACAAGTAGAAGTTACAATTAATTATAGCCTCAGTTTATTTACCTGCAAATATACATTTTAAGGTCCTTAATATACATTACTGTGTTTAAAATAGGTATAAACCTTCTCATATTACGTTTCAGCTTTCAACAAAATGTGAAGAAACCACAGCAATGACTTCATGTGAACATCTGTGGACTGTGCTGAAGAGAAATCAGCTCAACTTCAACTGGCCAAACACCGCCCCCTGCTGGTGAAGGTCATTATTAAAATTTGCAGAAGGTAATTGCAAAAGAGAGCGATTATTCTTTTACTTATTCTCGGTCATGTATTAAGTCTCAGCGGTACAAACAATCCCAGTAAGCCTAAAGTGTTGTTTCAGCTCTTGATCTGATGGTCTTCATATGATAATCTGAGACACACAGTTGTTGCTGTGTTGCTGTTCAAACCTTTAGTTTAAAGGGAGCAGTCAATCAGGAGAACGATGGTGTAAGCTGAGGGTGGCCTTAAACGCTCTTTTTTGTAATTATTCCCCCAAATTTGTTGAATTAGTTCAGTGAGAACTGGATTTTACAGCTGGGCGATGATCTGTCTGTAGCTGTGAGGTGCTCCCATGTTTCTTCCTTTCTTCTCAAAGTCTGAATTTTCTTTCTATTTCTGTATAACAAGATGGACTAATTCCCTTGATGCTAAACAAGCTGTTTCTGCACGCTTGTGTGAGTCTGAGATAGAGATTCATATAACTTTGATAATACTGATTCATTTTTTTGTTGAGCTAGTGCTTGTTTCTCTTTGAAATGTGTGTTTTCATTTTAAAAGGTACTTTTTTAAAGTTAACTTTGGACTAAGAAGTTCACCACCAGGGGGCAGCATTTATAGATTTTAGATGTGCACTGCTGTTCTTTTAACTTTGGACTTTTCTTTGTCACCCATGTCCTTTCCCAGGCTGTCGTTTGAAATAGAATGCATTTTTAATTATTTCCATCATTAAATAAAGACATTGTCCTTGTGGCACTGCCTGTCCATACTTCAACTTCAGCTGATATCTCGTTGACTTTTTTATTTTTTAAAGCTTCAGTAAGTTTTTTGGGAGGTTTTGAACTTCTTTTAAATACAAGAAATTACGATAACTGCCATTAAAGGAAGCTTTTGAAGTTTGCAAGCAGAGGCCAAGAATAAAAAGAAAAAGAGTTTAAAGGAGCCGAGTAGGCGTGGCCAACTAGAAATATAAAGCAGACGACGCCCTGCAGATTTTAATATATGTCATGTTGCACAGTGTGCGTGTGTGTTGATCTAAATTCCCCATAAATAAAATCCACATGATGACATTAGAGTGAAACAGGCAGGAAATCACCTCTGATGGGGGGAGGGCGAGAGAGATTAACAAGAACAAGAGGTTTAGAGAGAGAGAGCGATTGGTGGTGACTGTGTGTGTTTGAAATGTGTGTGTGTATTCAGAGCTGTTCAGTGTTTACATATAAAGAAAGAAAATCTCCTAACTGTCATTGAAAAAGCTAAAAGAAAATGTTTTTGTGTGTTTTTAGAGCATTTTGTTTGGGTCTATTTTCAGCGGCGTATGAATCCACATTTGTTCTCTGCCCACTGTGAGAGCAGGAGTGTGTTTATGGTGACAGTGTGGGTCATTAAAGCAGAATAAAATGCATCACATATGATTGTTCGGATGTGTGTGTGTGTGTGTGTGTGTGTGTGTGTGTGTGTGTGTTGGATAGGAGGAGTTACGTCACACATCACAGCTGGCTCTTTAATCCCTGACTGTCACTCTAATCCAGATTGAGATTTTCCTCTTCCTCTCTCTGATTTGCTGTCAGTCAAACAGTCTCTCCTCCTCTCCTCTAATGTAATCCTCTTCCTCCTCAGGCTATCCAGCGATTGGACGGTCTGAACTGTACAGAGGGGGGGCGGGGCTTGATGGACTGACGCTGAGATAAAAAAAAAGACCTGGCAGCTGAGGCTGGATGGATGAAGAGGAGATGCTGTGAGGTAGTGATGGATAAGTTAAATGCACTTAATCGGTACATTAAACTGAAACTGTTCGTGCAGCTTCATTTCTACCTGTTATGATCACAGATTAACATGAAAACAACACATTGATTATGTAAAGATAATTTCAAAGTTTTCTGAAATCTTTTCCACAACAAAAGATGTAACCAGTTTAAACACCTGTTACCACAAATATCTAATCGGCAGCAGCTGAATGCATTGAAGCATGTAGACGTGTAAAATGATCCACAGGGATTTTCCTGCACAAGCATCTCTAGAGTTTAAGAATGACATGAAACAGAGAATATCCAGCGAGCAGGAATGGTTGCTGATGAGGTCATAAATCAGGGGAGCATTGCCAGACTGCTTTGAGCTGATAGCAAGCCAGCGGTAACTTAATAACTGCTCATTCCAACTAAAGTACGCAGAAGAGCATCTCTCCACCACAGCCTGTCTGACCATAGTCGCTGACCATGCCAATCCTTTTATGGCCACAGTACATCCATATTCTGCTTCCAGCAAGATAGCACTCCTCATGCCACGAACTAAAATGATCTCAAGCTGATTTCTTGAACATGACAGTGAGCTCAGTGTATTTGAACAGCCTCCGCAGTCACCGGATCTCAATCCAACAGAGCACCTTGGGGACCAGGAGATTTGCATCATAGATGTGCAGCTGACAAATCTGCAGCGTGAAAATGTGGAGCTAAATCTCCGAGGTAAGTTTCCAGCACTTTGCTGAATAAATGCCACAAAGTATTAAAAAGCAGTTCTGAAAGCAAAAGGGGTCCAGCCCAGTTCTACAGGTGCACCTAATGTTCTGCAATCTTGATTTGTAACTCTAAATATTTACTTCAGCTGTGTTGTGATCATTATTTCAGTAATGTTATGTTTAGAGTTTGATGCGTGAAGATCTATAAAAAAACAAACAAAAAACACTTTAATGGTGGTTTCTACTCAGAAATCTGAGGCCACACTGTCTGCTGCAAGAAACCAACTGGAGGGGAGGATGTGCGGTGATGGGAAGGAAACGTGGAAAAATTTCCTTGTGTCACACCCACCTTGCAATTTTTCCACCAGTACTTGTTCTTGAGTTTGGCAGCGCTGCTCTCGAACTGCGAGGCTCCGGCCTGCAGGGCGTCGGCGCGGTCGTCCAGCTCCGACAGCTTCTGATCTCTCTCCAGGACTTTGTCCACATTCACACGCATGATGTCCACCACCTGAGGGATGAAAACACCCATCAGCATCTCTGATACGTTTTCCATTTGCTCGTAGTGAGCTGCAGTCCTCACCTCGTCCACCTGTGCCTGTGTCTGCTGGAGTCGTCTGTTGCTCGTCAGGTTTGGGGCCTGAGCTGGAGGACCCCCCTCACCTTCCGGGGCCCCGGGAGCTCCTGGAGTCCCTGCTGCATCTGGAGTCGACCTGCAGGGAAAATGTGAGTTTTGTAACAAGAATTCAGTCAAAAATGACTCATTTATCCCAGCAGTAGAATACAGTTAGAGGTAGGCATCTAGGCTTTGAGTGCATAACTTCAGGCTTATGTGCAATATATATAAAGATGGAGTGGTGACTAAACATCCCTGTGGCGTCCAGAGGTGGATGTATGGGTTGTGGGGGCACTGAGAGAGCAGACAGTGATGCAGGGCAACAGCAGCACTGACATGTCAGAGGGGAAAAACAGCTTGAAGGCCATTTAAAGAATGCTGCTTAAAGGCACTGCAGCTCCTTGACTTTTCAAAGCCGACTGCTGCCTTGACTTTTGAAATACTGTATATAAACAGATAGTGTGTATGTAGGTCAGATCTATAGCTAAAGGTTCTACGTGGATCTCTCTAGAAAATAACATGTTTTAGCTGCAAAAGTTTACTTAAAGCTCAAAAAGCATTTAGGAACTAAGAACTCAACAATAGGAAGGAAACTGTCATGTAGCAAAGTGTCTATGTGTATGCAAAGGCAGCAGAAGAGACTTTATTAAGAAGAAGAAGTGATTTCACCACCAACATACTTGTTGATTCCTTCTTTTTCTTTCAGTTTAACAAAAAGTAGCAGCTGGAAATACATAGGAGGAAACACGGTGCTGAATGGACCAATCAGGGTTGTTCTGTGGTGTAGAACAATGATACGAGGTGTAGTTAGAGTTCCAGAAAGGTTTCACGTTTAAAACAGCAAAACTTTTCATTCTTGTGCAGCTCCAAATCTCAAATGTTAAATCAGCAATCAGACGCATGGCTGCACAAGAGCATGAAAGACATTCAGTTTTCTACACTGATGAAATATTTCTGACTAAATAGTCTGATTTCCTTTGGTGCCGCCCCTCTAAACGCCCCTGTGTGAAGGAACTGCACATATAGTAATGATAATAATAATGAGATGAACTTGGTTTAAAATGGCCAAATATTTGTTTTAAGAAAGAAAAAAGAAAAACAGGAGATTTAAAGGGTGTGCAGCACTCTTGATTTTCTCCTTTTTACTTTTGATCCTTGCTCATCGGCCGAGGCAGCAGTGAAGCTGTGACAGTCGAGAGCTGCAAGGTTTTCATGGAGCGCCAGCCTCGATGAGCACAGCTGATGAATGAATCAGGATCGTGATTGCAGGTTTGGGAGGAGCACAGCAGTCTTCAGTTTGGCTCAGACAATAAATACAATATAATTAATAAATATAATAAACCTTCGTGTGCTACTAATATTATGTTTTAAACTCTGAAGTAAGATCTCAGATGATTTTCACAGAGTGAAGCTTGTAATTTGTTAGACCTTAAAAGCAGGAACGCCGCCTGAATTCTAAACACAAACTCTAATTCAGTAATAGAAACATGACTCATCAAAGTTTGGCCTCCGTCCACAAAATCAGAGTCTCAGAGGATGAAACAGCCTCAGCAGCTCAGAAGAGGTAAAGGACAAATTAAAAGAATAAAAAATAAACAGTACACACACACACACACACACACACACACACACACACACACACACACACACACACACACACACACA